CCACACCCGCAGAGCCAGGCAGGAAGGAAACTTTTACTTTTAAAGGGCCGCCCCCTGCCACCCAGCCCAGCTACCTCAGCTCACAGCTTGTAGGGGAGGCATCACATGGCCAGCTGCTGGTCTCTGCTGCTCACGTTGGCCAGAGCAGCGTGCGCTTCAGTGCCCCCCTAGCGTGGCACCTGGCAACTGCCCCCTCCTGGCACCCCTTCACTAGATGCTGCGAAGGTACCTTGATGCAAAAGTTTTGACATTAGGAAAGTCTTCCTTGGGCAAAAACTGGTAAAAACCCACCAGTCCTATTTTGAACTTGTCCCTAAGGAGGTCATTTGCTTGCAACTCAATGACTTCCAGCTGCAGTTCATCTGGGCAACTGGCCACATCTGCTTCAAATGGGTTTTGAAACAATCTCACTTCTTCTGCCTTTGAATCCAAAAAGGTCTCCACGGGCCGGATGAGAGGGCCTCGCGGGCCGCATCCGGCCCGCGGGCCGCATCCGGCCCCCGGGCCGTAGTTTGGAGACCCCTGATTTACAGGAACAAGCATTGAAAATTTAAGCTACCAGCCTAAATGGCAAGTGGCGTAACATGGCAAGTGGCAGAAAAAGGCCAGATAACCTGGCTATTTATGCTGGAAATTTTTGTTCTTTAAAATGGGAGTTTTACCAGCCTAAATGGCAAGTGGCGTAACATGGCAAGTGGCAGAAAAAGGCCAGATAACCTGGCTATTTATGCTGGAAATTTTTGTTCTTTAAAGTGGGAGTTTGAATTTTTTAACTATATATATATATATATATATATATATATATATATACACACACACACACACACACACACACACACACACACACACACACACACATTTGAATTCAATGGACGGTAAAAGTCACTTAACTCTATGAAACTTGAGCCCAATATTACAACTGGGCACCTAGCTGTAGAGAAATAGACCTCAGGCTTCATCCTGCAAGGTGGTCAACTTCCAGTGAAGCTAAAAGACGTCTGAAGACACTCTGCACTTTGCAAAAATGGACATTAAAAGAGTTCATATTCTTTGCTAAGTGTAAAGGCCCTAGAAAATGTCAATTATCAATCTTCTCTGTGAAGAATGTTAAAATGCATTTACAGAATGGCTCTGCACAAAAGAAGGGGTTTTTAAGTGTTTTATTTGCTTATTCAGAATCATTAGTATTTATAATCAACCATGTAAATCTGTTTCTTACTGAAGCACTTAACAGCTTATCTGCTATTGCCAAATGCATTACAGTCCATTCAAGGGGAAGGAATTAGCTGTATAAGATGACTACACAACAAAACTTCACTAAACAGTATCACAATAATTTGAAATATTTTATCTGTATAACTTTAATTTTATAAGTTAACAAAAACTATATTCCCAATAATGTATAACATTTAGTCCATAATGCAAAACAGTACAATTGATTAATAAACTAGTGCAAAAATGCAAAATGTTAACTGTATTCTTTGGAATAGTTGCATCATCGGTGCTGTTCCATCACCAATACATACATACCCTGCAGCTAATAGAGTTACCAAGAATTCCTGCACAAATCCCCCATTAGGAAAAGATCTCTAGTTCCAGCTATTCTAATTTTTTCTTGAAATATAGTCACTTACACTTATTCACATTCTTCAAATGGATGTCCAACTTCAGGGACCCACATGTGACCTGATTTTAGGAAGTGCTGAACATGTGCAGCTCCCACTTACACCTCTCTAGAAATCGGATTACTTATTTAGGTAAATTAGACACCTATCTAACCTGTGCTCCCATCTGAATATTGGCCTAGACATTTTCTTCTCATTTATCAAACAAAAACTAACTTGCTTACTGACCATGACAAAAATTGTAAATGATTTTAACTATTAGTGAATTTAAGATTACCTCAACGTATGAGACTGTGTATAAAGGGTTTTGTTAATAGTCACAAGTAGTACCAGTGTAACCGTTTAAGAAAATAAATTATGTCTGTCTGAAGGGACCATTCAGAACAATCAGTTGCTTGACAGAGTTAAGTCTTCCAATAAAAGTGGATCAGAACTCTGCTCAGTATTTTTAGAGATACTTTGGGGCAGGCAGTCTTTTATGACAGGAGATTGCCTAAAAATGCATCTTGTCCAGGTTTTAAATGGGTTATCAACTCTGGAATTAGATTATTATCTTATTGGATTTCCTTAATTAAAACAGTGAAATTTGGTAAGTATTAATCAATTAGGAGGTATGGAAAGTTTTCCCTCCTTGTATGACAAGATGATCTTACTCACCGAATTACCAGAAGACTATTTCCAAACTAAACCCAGCAAAACATGAACAAACAAAAGGAGAAAAACGCAAGAGTCTACAGAACCTAGAGTAGCAATATATAAGAGTTTTACTCGGTACTTGAAGACTCACTTATATGTTCAAGAACAAATTAACTCTGCAGCTGGTGCAGTGACTTGGAAAGCCAAGGAATGACAGCAAAATGGAGAGGGCTTTTCTCCACTGAGGATTTGTAGAATGTAATTATACTTAATTTATTCTTTGTTTTAGAATAGAATCCCATATTGTAAGTGGAAGATACTTGACAAACCTTTTAGGAAAAGAGGCACATTTTTCACATATTAGCTAGTTCAGAGTCCTGCCCTGATGTGAATGGAAAAGTTTATTGTTGCCAATGATGAGATCTTTACTTATTAGACCATTCAGTAGCTAAGTGGCACACACATCTTGGGTGTCAACTCTAGAGGAAATATACTCATCTGTACTTCAAGAGATCATGGCCATATTATCTATGCACCTCACCAAATTCAGACACCCATCTTTCCCGTCCCACTCCTGGAAAAGCAGCCAAGATAGTGAACAGAAAAGACTGGGGATATCAACAGCTGATTGCATTAAACAGCTTTCAGCTCATTTGCTACATTGTCATTAATGAGAGAGGTAGTTTTAAAATAAAGCACTTCATAAATGGCCAGATCAACTGCAAGTTGAGTTTGTACTCCAGTGCAAAGAACAGAGCCTCAAAATATGTGTAATGAGGGAATGGCAGGTTTCATTTACAACTGGGACAAGTAACTCAAATGCACTTGCAGTTGTGCATTCCCTAACCTCAGACTAAGGCAAGAAAAAAAGGCAAAATATTTTTATAAGCATTTTGTTGAAAGGGAAATTTAGGAACAGTAAACGTGACTTTTTTAGGACTATGTTCACTACGCTTAGATGATGAATTCTTAGTTGGATGATGAAAGGAAAAAACATCAGAGCCATATAAACGTTAAAAATGAAGCTTCTGAGTATTGCATGTTAATTTCTTAAAACTTATGTTAACTGGGATGGCTGAATTCCAAAAATTCAAAAGGGTTTGACTCCTGTTTGCTTATCTCTAGAAATTAAATGGTAAAATCCCAGAGCATCCTTTTGATTAAGTCACAAGCACGTGTATCTTCTCAAGTAAGTGCCTAACAAACAGTAATAAATAAGGGTGGAATTTTGAAATCTGGCTAATAATACCACCTCAAAACAGTATTTACAAGTAATCTGCAAAATTTGAACTGGCTCAGATTCAAAGCAGCAATAAAACAACTGGCTCGGCCAAATTTGCCATCAACTTCAGCTGGCCTCAATGTGAAAATTGTCAAACTGCGCAAATCCAAAGGAACGAGTTCCAATAGCTGCCCAGCCATGACTTGTCTCAGATATGGTGACGTTCTCCCAGAGAGGATAACCATTAAGCAATCCTGAGGCAGATGAACCCTGTCAGAAGAAAGGGAAGAAAGTTTAGCAAATCCAGTGACCAGTTTCCCAATCAGACCTATCATTTGGGGGGCAGGGAGAAGAGATTGGGAAAGTCAGCATGATATTGGAGTACTTGTGAAAACGTTAGCCCTTTTACAGTGCTTCAAGTGCAGTTTTCCACTGAAAAGTGACTAGAATACTCCATCATAGGGTTACGTTTATCAGCTCAGTTAACTCCAAATCAAATATGTTTATAGTTTCCATGTAAAGAAGTACTCAGTCTAAGCTCTGACCCTACCAACTCAACCTGGAATTTAAGAATTAAACTGGGTTTTCCTCTTATTTCTGGTGACCTAAGAGTTGCACTAGGCCAAATCTGCCATTAGACTCCCAACTCCAATTGTCTTCAGTGGAGCTGCATGGATAGAACTAATTTGAATGACGGACCCAAAGAGAGACGGAATCCAGCTCACTTTCTGAGAGCCGCATTGACTCCCCAACATTAACGGGAATCAGAAGCTCTACCCTGTAAGTATTAGAACTGTATGCACTCAGAATAGTAACTAAAATACATTTTTACTTCTTTTGGATAGGATAGTGCAATTAATAACTTTCAATATAGAAACATTTTAAGTCATAATATTACTGCAACTCTTTTCCACTAGATGGCAGTAACAAATAAAAAACACACACTAACTACAGAGTTTACATTTTTCTAAAGGCTGCTATAACCAGAGAAAAGCACTCCAGGAGAAAGATTTAACAGAAGGAAACCACACTCCAGCAGGGATTATCCTATTTGGCCACTATAGAACTCTTGAAAGGAAGTTCCAATTTTTCTACCATGACATTAAATAGGTGGTTATCTGGGAATATTTATAAACTACAGTATCATGTCTAAGAGGTAGTTCCAAAATAATACTAGCAATCTTCTCTCTACCACACCAATATCTGAGCACTTCACAAATAGCACTTTTTTGCCTTCAACATCCCTGTGATTCAAGTTTCATTATCCCCATTTTACAGAGGTGAATTAAAGCATAAAGAAAATAATCTTGCTTGAGGTCCCACAGTCTGTGGATGAATGGAAACTGAATTCACAGTTCTTTGACCTCCAACTCTAAGAAGATTAAGGTGATCTAAGAACACGCACAAAGCCAGTCTTACAGCAAACATGCTGGCATGTGGGCAACAAGGGTACAGGCTTAGTGTACAAATTTTCAAAAAAGATTTATTTCAAGACTGTGCTTTACTGGAGTCAGACCAGGTACAATAGCAAAGTCTAGACAAGGGCAGGAAATCTGATTGTAGAAGTTCCATAGAAAAGCATATGACATCTATTCTTCTAAATACATGAGTTAGCACCACAAAAAGCTGGCTAGATATGAATATTTAAGGCACTGCTGACAGTGCTCCAGTAAGGTAATGAATAAGTGTTGCCAAATTATGGCTAGAGATGGTGTGCTATGTAAAATTCTTACTAGCTATACAGAAAGAGACTGCATATTTAATAAAGATTTCTGCTCCAAAACTTAAAATGAAATGGGACAATGTGCTCTTAGTATACAAGGAGGAGGATGTACCTTCCAGTCTATTAAGTAACCAAGGAGGAGGTCACACAACATCCACTAAAGATAAACATTTTTAAAAATCAGCAGGCATGCATAATTAGCACCCAAAGAGGTCTAAAAGAGGTCTCTGGCCCACTAATGTTATTTTTTTTAAATAAGTTATGACACAGAAGAGAAATTCCACAAGACTGTGGAAGTGCTAATGTTGTGCCAATATTCAAAAAAGTGTGACTGGAACAGCCTTCGTAATTATATACCAAGTAAACCAAGCAATGGGCTGGCAACAGACTCTATTGATACTCAGCAGGCAACTGCTATTTGCCAGGTCCCTGGCCCAGGACCAGTGTGGGCAGGCCTGGGTCCCCAGCCCATTGGAGACTGCTCTTCAGATTACCTTTGAAACACTTATATGGAGACCCTTCTTTCTTGTCTCAGCTCCCCATACAAGATCTGTTTTGGGAGATGGTGATCTTCCATTCTCATGACATGCCAGGTCCACCTAAGTTGTGCTACCAATAACTTTTCCTCGATGCTGATTGTTTGCTCCCTCAAGAGTCTTAATATTGGTCACTCCATCCTGCCAGAGAATGTTCATTATTAAGCAGTAGTAGTGCATGTGAAATTGTTCAAGCTATTTAATGTGATGTCTATAAAAAGTCCAGGAAAGATGCATTGTAGATACTCAATTTGGTGGAGACACAGATGTTGTGTTGGTTAAGAACTTTTGTTCAAAGTTAGTCAATGCCCTGTCTGGCTTTACTAATTCTGGAGATGTCCTTATAAAGGGGGCTATCAGTTGAAATGGTACTGCCCAAATATTTGAACTGATCCACAGTTTCAACGGTGTGCCTTGAACGGAGAGGGCTGGCACTGGGGCATTGGAATAAGGTGCTGGTTGAAACAAGACCTCTGTCTTCCCGTGACTGATGGTGAGGCCAAAGAGCCAGGATACTTCAGAAAAATCAATGATGACCCAAAGTTTGTCTTGTCTATGAACCATCAAGGCACAATCATTAGCAAAAACTTGCCTCCATGAAAAGCCTCTCCAGTGTCTTCAAAGATCAAAGAGGGAGCCATGAAGTCAGCAGCAGATATTTATCCCCTAAATCCAAGTCCCTTCATGCATGGCTGAGAACACAAGCAAAGACAAGATGAACAGCACTGGAGAACATACAGCCTTGCTTCACCCCATTCAAGATTTCAAATGCATCTGAAGTTTCAGCACTGGTGAATTATTTCACTGGCATGTTTTTTTCCACACCAGAGTTCAGTTGTTTGGTGGCTTTTATGAATTCCTCCCTACATCCAATGAGATCGAGATCCTCTTTCATGGCTTTTGCAGGTAAAAGGTTAAGGACACACTAATCTATTGTGGACGGCGTACTGAATAGACTTGAAATGTTCAGACTATCTCTGTATGATTCTCTCTGTCTTTGATGAGGGTTGTGCCATCTGCTCACTTCAAGGGGGCTGTGCCAGATTTAGATGGTCTATGGACTCCTTTGAGAGTCATAGAACATCCTTGCCTTTTTTGTATCTGCGTAATTCTGGATGTCTGCACCTTTCCTCTCCCACCATGAATCCTGCATTCTCCATAGTTCAGACTGGGTCTTGCTCTGTAGGTACTTAAATCTATCTTTCTTTGAGATGGAAGTGATTTCATTCTCTCATCAGCAAATGTTTTCTGCTTGTCACTTAGAAATTTGGTGAGGTCATCGCTGTGCTCAAACCAATCCTGGTGTAACTTTTTCTTTGGTCCCAACACTGATTTAACTACATCAACAATCGTATGTTTAAACTGGCTCCATTTTTCTGTTGAGCTGCCAGTGACTGGCAGGCATGAACAGAGCTTGTCGTCATATCGTATGTTTAAACTGGCTCCATTTTTCTGTTGAGATGCCAGTGACTGGCAGGCACGAACAGAGCTTGTCATCATTAGACTGCTGAAACTGCATCTGATAGATGCCATGATTGAGTTTTGCTATAATGAAGGCTGTTATATTAAGTTTGGGATGCTTACACTGTGATGGGACTATATGCAGGTTCAGCACTGCTCTGACCAACCTGTGGTCTGTCTAGTATACTGCACCACAAATGGCTCTGGCAATTCTGACATGGCCGACATCTTATTGACAAGTGATAACACAATCATGCGCCATTGTCTGGACTCTGGCTGCATCCTTGTCATTTTATATTTATCATTTTGCCTAAAGATGGTGTTGCTGATGAGCAGACAGTTCTGCACATTTAGACAAGTGAAGGAGTCCACAGCTGTTCATCCTTCCTACTCCGTATTGTCCTATCACATCTCTCCAGCCACTGCTGTTGCTACCAACTCTAGTGTTAAAGTCTCCCAGAAGGATGAGTTTGTTATATGCAGGGCTTGATTTGCTGATAGAGTCCAAGTCAGAGTAGAACTGATCCTTGCTTACCTTTGTGCTGGTCAGTGTAGGCACAAAGGAACTGATGACAATTACATGCCATAGAGGATTCAGGAGAAATCAAAGCTTAATGAGATATTCATTCAGTTACACACAGAGGTCAGGAATTTGTCTCAGGAGTGACGTTCTTATGGAAAATCAAGCTTTATAAATCTTGTCTTGATCATCTGCTTTTCCTTTCCAAATGAAAAGCTCCTTGCTCCCTGATGGAATCTTCTGTGGCCAATCTAGTCTCATTCAGTGATGCAACGTCAATACTACAGCGAGCAAGTTCTCTGGATACAAGAACATAGCCTCAGGAATTTGTGCATTGTCTCTATCCATAAGTGTACAACCATTCCATAGTCCTAGGGTGAATCTGTTGTTCTTTATTGTTTTTTCAACAGCTGTAGAAAATATAGACTGTAGTCTGCCCAGATATTATGGGGCATACAATGTTTAGGACACCTTTTCTAGTCCCTTCTCTTAAAACAGGGGAGTAATAAGCAGGTAAAGGGAGGCAACTGTAGCTCATTACATCGCACTGGTGAGACTGACCGTAGAATACTGTGTCCAATTCAGCAATCCCTATTTTAAAAAGGATGCTAAAAATGTGAAAGCATGCAGAAAAGAGGCACATACATTATTTGAAGTCAGCTCACTGCACACTACCAGTCTGGGAGAATCCTGGACACAGGAAAAAGACAGGACATGGAGGAGACATGAACAGAGCAGGGTACAAAAATTGCTGGGAAGTCAAAGACTGATGACAGAAGGGCAAGTGGGTGGAACACAGGGGCAGGGGAACAGGAGCTAGTGTGGTAACATCGAGATGAATGAGAATGAGGGCATCATGACAAATGCCTGAAGGAGCAGGAGTGCAGGAAAACACAGGGACAGGGCAGATATGCCTCACTGAATGGAAGAGGATAGGGGTTAGCATGGGGTAGAATTCACAGCTCCCAACAATTTCTGCCCCCCTTAGAAAAAATCTGTTCCATACTTCTCCCACACACCCTTTCCTGGTTCACTCCCAGGCTCTTTTCCTTCCCAGCAATGACATCCCTCTCCCTCAGCATCTCCATGACCCCTGGTTCCTCCAAGCCTTTTGCACTGATTCCAAGAATGCAGGAAATACATTTTGTATTGTAGTGTAAATAAATTACTACTGGGGTTCTGTATTAATATGCCTAGAATGTATTGGTCAAAAAATGTTTCCTGAATCTTTTGTCTGTATGGTTACATACTTGCTGATAGCTAATTCGAAATAAAGTTACCAAAATAATTGACCCTAGCATGATTACATTACCTTACTGTGATAAATAAAATATGAAGAATTTTGCAAAATTTTAAAATATTGTGCAGAAAGTTTACTTTTTTGGCACACTATTGGCCTACGTGTAACAGCAGTAGGCCCAAAGAAACAGGTAGCTGCTGAAGCATTGTGGATTTACACTTCAGTTTGCTACACACTAATTTACCATATAAACATGCTCTGAGAGGTAACTTGATTGCAGTGGATAAGAACCTTCAAAGGAAGAATTTACTAACTACTACTACTACTACTACTACTAAAGGGCTCATCAACAGCATGGGGAAAGGCATACAAGAACCAGTGGCAGGAAGCTGAAGCCAGACAAATTCAAATTATGCAGAATTTAAAAAAACAGGATGATTAGCCAATGTAACAAACTATCAAAAGAAGTGCTGGACTCCACATCTCCGGATACCTTCAAGTTAAGACTAGATGACTTTCTGGAAAGCATACTATAGTCAAACAAACATGTTATTGGGTTCAATATAGGGGTACTGAGTGAAATACAAAAGCCTGTGGTATATAGCAGGGCAGATTAGATCACTTAATGGAATACTGGATTGCCAAAAAGCAAAACCAAGTTATTTTAACTCCACTACAACTTTATGCAAATCATGGTCTGGGGGGGTTAAAGCTCATTCTTGAGAACTCAAGACTATAGAGATTAATCCCAGTCTTCCAGAAACTTCCTCTGTAGTACTGCACTGATCACTTCACCCAACTGTGCCACAACTCTCTGCAAAAAAGGATTAACACTTTCCTAGGCTTTTGTGAGGATGTGTGTCTATAAAGCTCTTCGAAGATGTAACACACGAAGTATTATTATTTTAACTATCACTTACTGACACAGTCACAGGATAACGGTGTGCTGTAATGTAAAGGTGATCTATGCAAAGAATATTTTGGTTAATTCTTGTGGCTTTCAACTTGTATCCTTACCTTGAGTTTCAGAGTGAGCGTGTGCCATACTCTGGCTCGCACACCAGACACTCCTTTCATCAGGACCTCCTTTCCAGCTGAAACACATACACAATGTTAGTGGATAACGAGCAATTCCTAATCCCCTGGGTATCTTATAATCGAGATGCTCCATTTCTTGCCTAGATACTTAGCACCTGATATTCAAAAGTATTGAGAACCTGCAGCTTTACCCTCAAGTATGTGGGGGAGGAGAGTCTCAAAAAACCCAGTAATCAGGCCCTTAAAAAAAACCCACAAAGACATCCTATTAGGCTAGCCAGACCATGTGTCTTTCCAATCATTTTATCCAAAATAACAACAAGTGTCTGTTAGAGATCAGTTGCCTCTGTTGACTTTAAGTCAGTTGACTTACCATGGGATATGGACCCTTTCACTTGTAGGGTTTTGACCAAGATGGGTAGTAAAGTTTAAAAAAAGTTCTATCAGCAATATGGTCATTCCACTGAAGTAGAGAGCAACCTTAGTGCTAAGTATGTGCCAAAAACTGAGTTTAATACATTTTTAAAGAAAAGTAGACACACCAACATATATTTAAGCTTTTGATTTGACCAGATAAGCAGGTACGGCATGATAAGAATTTTGATAGTAGACCAGACTGTCAAGTACTACAGAAAGTAGTGTTAAGTGATTCAATAGATAGCCTTCTTTCCTGTGAGTCAAAACTGAATTGATGTGCTACGTAATAAAATACTCTTTTGTTGGAAATACCTTCTGGTAAGAAATAAAACTGACACCTTGACTATTTATGATTCTTTCAAGTAGTGAACATCGTCTCACAGATTAGAGAGGTTCAATCTAACAACTTCGCTAAGTTTCAGTTTGAAACATGTTCTGTCTACTCAAGTCTCCTTATTTCCAGCTGGATAAATTCTTCTGATCATCCTATGAAACTGACTGTGCAGTGCTGTTAAATTCTCATACCACATCCACCACCCTGGTATCTAAGCACTTGCACGGACATCCTCTTGATAGACACCTTACGTCATTTAGCACATACAGCACAGACAGTGACTGCTTATCAATAAAAAAAGCCACATGCCTTCAGACTACTGGATGATTAATATATGCAGTAAGCATACAGTATAAACCCACTGTCTTGTAATGAGTTTTAAGTGCCATCTATGAAAATAAGCATCCTGTATTTTCTCTAGCTTTTTCTTCAAACGTTCAGTTGGGTTTATTTTGGGCTGAGATGTAACCAAATGCCAGGCTTTTAAAGGAGGTCAGGTCACATTAATAACGAGTTACTTACAAAGATCACCAGTGACTTGGTAGGTGCCATCTGCAAACACCCAGAAGAAAAGTCCTCTGCTACGTCGAACATATATCCCACCATTGTTCACTCTTCCTGCAATAAACACGCCGCCATTGACCGAGTGCTCTATGTATACGTCACAAGTTATTATCACATTTACCCTGCAAGAGAAAGGTAACATTTAATGAAAAATAAAGAAAATTAGCATAAAGGTGGTACAGGCAGTCCCCGGGTTACGTACAAGATAGGGACTGTAGGTTTGTTCTTAAGTTGAATTTGTATGTAAGTCGGAACTGGTACATATTGTAGGGGAAACTCTAGCCAAACATTTCTCCAGAACTCAGTTTTATTCTCCCACACCTCAGTCCTTTATTCTCAAGCTGAGGTGTCTGCTGAGAAAAGCCACTCCGCATCTCCCTGGTCTGCTGGGGGGGA